ACATGCCACACACGACACACCCACCACGGACACACCCACCCACATGCACACGCACGGGCACACACGGCACGCACGGACACACCCACCCACATGACACCACCCACCACATGCACATGCACACATGACACACCACCCACATGCACACGCACGGACACACACCCACATGCACACGCACGACACACCCACCCACATGCACACGCACACACACACCCACATGCACACGCACGGACACACCCACCCACATGCACACGCACGGACACACCCACCCACATGCACACGCACGGACACACCCACCCAACATCACACGCACGACACACCCACCCACATACACACGCACGGACACACCCACCCACATGCACACGCAACGGACACACCCACCCACATGCACACGCTACGGCACGGACACACCCACCCACATCACGCACATGCACACGCACGCATGCACACGCACAGACATGCATACACATGCATACGTACGGACATAAACACACGTCCACATGCATGTGCACAGACGTGCATACACATGCATACGTACGAACATAAACACACATTCACATGAACACACAAACACATACTTGCACATTCATTTTCATGCTTAGAAATGTGGGCATAGTGCATCCTCCACATGTTTATACTGCAATTCTTTTATTTCAGGCAACATTAACAACTCTCTCATGACCCTGAGGACTTGCATTGAAGTTCTTAGAGAGAACCAGTTGACGGGTTCTTCCAAGAAAGTGCCATACAGGGACTCCAAGGTGACCCATTATTTCAAGAACTATTTTGATGGAGAAGGCAAGGTCAAGATGGTTGTTTGCGTCAATCCTAAGGCTGACGATTATGATGAAACTCTGGTAAGCAAAGGGGAACTTTGTAAACTAAAAAAGGAAAAAGGATCATTATTATTATTATTTTATTTATATATTTATTTATTTATTATTTTTTCCTTTACTGTTCTTTACTTTACTTTTCTTTGTGTGTGTATGTGTGGTTATAGGTCTAATTATGTATGAATATGATGAAATAAAATTTTGTCTAAGATTTTATTTTGGTATTCCAGCCGGTGATGAAGTTTGCAGAATTGGCTTCAGAAGTACAGGTTCAACGATCTGTCCAGTCGGCAAGACAGGATCCTGGATTGCTGCCTGGAAGGAGAAGAGCAAACCAGCTGTTCAAGGAAGTTCGACGGAGGTTAGAAGAGGAGGGTGAGAATGTCAAGGTGAGTTGAAGGTATATTTGTAAGTACTTTCAGATATACCTACGTACTTTCAGAAAAAATGACAAATTAGAAGGGGTTATGTTTCTGGGAGAAATTCCATGGCAGAGTTTGATGTATATCTGGGTCAAAGAGCAAATTGTAAGGATATAGCTCAATTCCACATTTACATGACTTAGAAAGATATTTGAAAAGTGTGGAACTTGATGATTCTGTGACACAGTGATGCGTGTCATGAATATAGAGTACCAAGTATTGTGCAGGATTTCATTTTAAGCCATTCATGAATTAATTTTAGTCAAATGTATTTATTTATTTATTATTATTATTATTATTATTATTTTTTTTCCCCTTCTTACTCCCTCTAGAACTTGGAAGTGGACCTGACACCCATATACACACTGGCACCAGCTTGGCCTGCTGTTAGTTACACAGCAGAGACACGGGATGATGTCATTATGAAACTCAAGGCGTATTTGCAGAAGAGAATTCACAACAGAGAGAAGCTGCAGACTGAACTGAAAGGAAAGAGTAAGTATGAGCTGGAACTTACCGGCTTTTTTTGTTCATTTTTAATAAGGAATTTTCAATGATCAAGAGAGGGCAAATGCATAATATTTTTTCTTTTCTTTTATGGAACTCTTGGTTGTTTGTGATAATATTGTTTATCCTGTCAAAGTCAGGTGCTGGTAGAATGTTAGGCTATTATGCTTGACTGACTGTTTTTGAAGTCACACATTGCTAGTTAGGTGATTTCAGATGTTTGTGCTGCAAACATTATAAGACTTTCTCAGCCAACTTTAAAATGCTGTAGTTCCACATACAGTGGTTCATTGTGTGACTCTCCTATTACATATATTACCCTGTAATGAACTTAGTGTAAGCTACAAATTTTTAACCACCCATTGACACTTACCATTTTATTATAAAGTCTCAATGCCTGTGGGGGAAAAGGTTAAAGATTGTCATTGAATATATGTTTTGGTTAGCCGTCCCTTCCTTTTGATACTAATAAATGCTTTTTCTACAGTTCTAACAATGCACACTAATGTAGTAGAGATGGAGAAGGAAAACCTCATTATGAAGAAGGAAATCATGAGTTTGCGATCACTGTATGATGATGCCATGGCAAAGGTCCGGACATTAGAATCCATGCTACTGAATGCAGAATCTGTCAACGAAAGTTTACAGAGGAAATTTACTGATTATAACAACCTAGTTGATGAATGCAATGCTGTGGTAAGTTCACATAAGCAGTTCAGGGGATGGAATATTCATATCTGCTGGGTTCTGAATGTAGTTGGTAAATGTTGTAATATGCAGGGTTAAATTTTACGATAACATCTTAGAGTATAGGCTTGAAGCAAAATATGTTTAAGAAGCACTAAGCTGACTTATTATTTGTTCAATGGAAAGAAGGTAAATTATTTAATTTATATCATTTCTGGTACTTGATGAGCTAGTGCTGTATTGTTATGTAAACTAAAAGTCAACTAAGTAATTGTAATAAACGACTACTGTCTTGAAGCGAAAGTAACTGATTTCCGTAGAAAGTTACTTAGCTAATGTGTATGTGTTTTGTTACAGCGAGAAGAAAGAGACATAGCCAAGTCGCAAGGACAACTAGAGAAACAGAGGATGAAAGCACGTTTGAAGTGCAAGCTAGAGATTGAGAAGGACAAATTGAAGAATGACATGCAAACGAAACTAAGTGAACAAAAGGTAATTCTGGCATTGTGTTTGCTTTTGTTTTGAAGTTGTTTAGGTTGCGTTTGAATTATCTGTATTTTCCTGGACTATTTTGTAATCAAATTTTTTGAGTAGTTGTGTTTAGCAGTGTTCTGGCCTTTGTTTTGAAGTTGTTTAGGTTGCGTTTGAATTATCTGTATTTTCCTGGACTATTTTGTAATCAAATTTTTTGAGTAGTTTTTTATTTTACCTATTTTGTGTTTAGCAGATTTTTAAAAACCTATTTTGTTTCATTTTTTTTCTTTTTTCTTTCTTTCTTTATTTCTCTTTACTTATTTAGTTGAATAGATTTTTATTTTTTTAGGCAAGATGTAGATATACTTCTGTAATTAATGTTTATGATTTATTATCATTATTTTCAGTCAAAAATGTTCCACAGTCAAGTGCGAGCACTGCAGGAGATTTTCTTGGACGACAACCAAACACCTGGAAGTCGAGTACCTTCAACTTCAGATTCAGACCTAAGGCAGCCTCGTCAAGGTTCCCAGAACCAAGGCATCAAGGGATCTACATCTGACCCAAAACTCAATGTCAGCCAAGCATTCTTGACTCCTGACCTCAGAGTGAGTATTGATGTGAACAATGTAGGTCCTTTTAAAAATGGTTCAAAAGATATTTGTTACTGAAGGCCTCACTTCCAGCTTCAGTGCACTGAACTAGTTATTCTTTTACCCATAATTTGCTGTCATATGTTGTGGTTATTTTTTGCATGATTTGAAATATTACTTTCATTAATAGAAATTAAAAGCTAATAAATGTTTTGTGTTTTAGGGCCCTGCAGTTTCAAACCAAAGACATAGACGTTCAAGATCTCAAGGTGCTGATATATGGCTCGATCATCGTCCAGGACAGGTATGTTTGTCTTTCTTGCAATTTCATAGATGTTGGTTTTGTATGTCATTCATTTATTTATATATTTATTTATTTTTTGGATATTCACACTGATTTTTTTGTGACATTAAGTTGAATAGAAATAATTTGTAAAGTTCTTTTTTAAGAGGAAAGGAAATCAAGTATTTTATTTTCAGTGTTTTGTAGAGCTATACAGCAGTTTTAGGGCTGATTTGTTTTCTTTTTTGTGCTAAAGATTTCATGTTGGGATAATAGTAATAATTAAAATAAGATAGTCAGATATTCAAAGTAGAGTCTTGTATGTATTAGCTTAGATGGTAAGGATGCATGGCTGTGGAGTGTCATGATAAGATCTCAGTTAATCTTGGTTGTGTGGTGATTGGTATGGCAACAGGAGGTACCGCTTGGAACAGTTCTACAGCCAAATTTGCCGCGACGCAAGTCTGTCACAAGACTACGCAGTGGGGACCTTCTTGATGGTCGTGTAACAAATTATTGTTTGACCACTCAGCAGCAGGACTCTGAGGGAGAACTTGAAACAAAGTTGTACAAGGTATTAGAAGGATCTTTAAGTATTAGAGGCTGTTGTTCATGCATGATACTAACAAGTGTTAGATGCTAACTAACCATCTGTCTTTTGGCTATCATCTTCAGGTTATTGAACTTGAAACAGGAAGGTGCCCATGTTTTACATGTTGTATGCATGTTTAGCTTCCAGTATTTTATTTTATTCTAGTTCATATTATAAGCATGATACATGCAATGGCTTGGTAGAGAAAGTGCAGGTAGCTCTTTTTTTCCCAACCTAGAAAATAGGAATAGGAACTTGATGTGCATGAATACTTATTTGTAACTGTTTTTCGTTATGAATAAGGTAGTGGTATAGTGTGTCAATAGATGACATTTTAAGGTAACTGAAGTGAGTTTTATTGCAAGAATATAGAATTGGTATAATTTACAAAGTAATTGTATTTTTATATTTTTTATTTTCTCTGATTTGGTATTTTTTCATTCTATAAGTTATTATGACTAAGCAATGTGAACATTTGATATCTTAGGTATGCAGATACACTGATAGCTTAATCTGATGTTGGCAGGAAAATGTAAAGACACAGTGGGCATAGCATGTGCGTACTTGCCATCCCCAGTGGCATCGGATCAAACACGTGTAGTTCTTAAGAAGTAGACACCATCTACAGAATTTCCTATAGCCTTATGTACAGAGGGAGAGATCAATGCCTAATCAGTTATCTTGCCTCAGTTTGCAACTTAATGATATTTGCTAAATTTTACTTGTTGCAGATAGTGTTGTATATGTAGTCTTTTTATAGATTTTAGTGTGTGGGGAATGGATTTGGAAAAGGAAGTGTGTGGTAAAAGTATGGCTGTATGGTCTTGTATTTAGATAGTATTGGCTTGGTAGATTGATATTTTTTAAAGTGACATTCAGCTGTATGATTTTGCCACTTAAATGTTCTTTAAATTAAAAAAGAAAATCTTTTACTTTTCTTTGGAAACTGGCAATTTTTACTGGAAAACATAAAATAGCATTTAAAACAGTACCTTGAGCAGTGATCAGCTTACTTTCCCTCCATAACTAAATTTCACACTTGTATATGTTGATGCATTTATAGAACATGAATTGGCAAGTACTTGAGTGGGGACAACATGTGCTTTTGTGCTGGCTTCTGTTCTGTGATCTGTAAGTTCTTTTTCTTTATTTCTCTGTAGCTGGTCTTTAGATAGCTTTGCATTATTTGTGTATTATGTGATGTAAAACTTTTTGATATTCCAAACTTAGATCTTTTTTTACAAAGTGCTGATTATTCAGTCCATTAAATATATACACAAATATTTATCAGTCCCTTTCTGTTTGGTTTTTGCTTGTTGATTAATGAATGAATATAATACTGGACACTTGAAAAGAACATCTTACTTTAAAGTTAGACTGATTTTGTACCTAATGGTGTAACGTTAATCTTTTATTTAATCCATTGGGTGAGGATACATGTACTATTGACCTTTTTTTGTGAATTTTGTTGCATACAAATGGCTCCACAAATGCTCAGCCACCTGCAAGCCAATTAGTAGGGCCAATGTGACCTCAGTTGAAATGTTTTTTCTTATGCTTTTAAGATGTTATAATACTAGTAAGCTATATAAAAAAATACATAAATTAAGGAAAAGGGTAAGTTGGTGAGTTTGATAGGACAAGTAATTGACTAAGCAATTATGGAGCCATCTGTGTGTAAACACAATGAATTAAAATCACAATGGACATGCCATATATGCCATGCAATCCTAGCTGTTAAAGGATTTTGAGTCAAATGCATGTTTAAAAGGCAGTGATGGTGATGGTTTGTGTTATCTTCAGTTACTTTTTTCCCCATTGCTTCTCTTAGGGGCAGACTTCACCAGATATGATGAAGTGTTGCTTTCCCTGCTTTGCTCTTCCTCAACAGCTTCATAAGACGAGCTTTTGGTACTAGGTTCAGGCATAGTAATAAATCATGTTCTCTCTTTTTTTCTTTTTCTTTTTTTTCCCATTTGGTATTTATTGGTGGTCTTGTGTTGCTCTGATGTGATGTGGTATTTTCTACCCTGGTGGTTTGTTTGTAGGTATTTCTTTCTATTTTCATACTATGGAATTAGTCTGACTCAAGGAAAGGCCTTGAATTTCACATGTATCATTCAGTTGATAGAGAAATAAGGTAAGTATGTATACAATAAAAGGTGGAATTATGTTATGAATTTCATATGTTCTTGATTCTGTTATACATTATTTTGTATTATCTTGTATTTATTAGATTTGCATGCGTGTTTTATAGCATGCTTCTTGTTTAAGTTAAGCATGCATTCTTTGAGTACTGAGTTTGAATTTTTTTTCAGTCGAATTACCTTTTCCCAAAATGGGAATTCATCCAAGAAATATGAGAGTATTTTTTTTTTTACATATTCATCATACCAAGTGAATTTACTGTCTTTTTATACTGGGATATCTTTGTTGTGGTACAATTGCTAATTTGATTTATATGTTTTGGTCCTGACATTATATTTACTTGTATTTACATATGATGCCTCAATAATTATTTGAAGTTCTCAGTTTTAATGGTCTTTGCCTCTGCTATTTTCCATTCTTCAAATGGGCTGAGTTCATGAAAGTTCTCTGTTACCAGTCCTAGCATAATCACATTTACTTTTTCACCTTATTTAGAGCTCAGGAAGCCTTAAAAATTCATATCTTCTTTTATCCGTTCCTCTGAAGCTTGGATTCCAGCAGTCAGAATTAGACCTCTGCCCACCCAACATACTGTATTGCTTATATTGCTCTTACGTTCTTCTGGACTCGGTATAACTAGGCTGCCTTCAAACCCTTTTAATGTTATATAAATATATAGTAATATGTAAGAAAAAGCTAAGTAAAGCATAACTGAAGATCATTATTCCCTACAAAAAAATAATGTCTGGGCTAACAATGTTTTAGGTTTGGCTCACCCATAAAGTGAATCAAGGCATAGGTAAAGGAGCAGTTCAACTGGTCTTGTGTACACACAGGTCATAAGTGTGGCTACTTGGGTAGAATCGGTCACTTTGGTGCAAAATCTGGGGGCTGAGGGGAGCCAGCAATAACACAACTCAGACCATTCTTTTTCTGTGGGTATCACCAGGCTTTCCAGGGTGCAATTTAATATTGTGTAAGTCATTTAAAGAAATCAATATCTACAAGGTCAACAAAAGTTTTATAAGAGATTTTTTTATAAAACGGTTAATAATCACAAAATTCCCTTTTTATTACCAAAAACAAATAAACTAGAAATGGCTAATTTGAAACCGAGGATCTACACTCGTTTTGATGGCCTGTCAGATGTGTTAATAATTTTGGATCTGATATATCGGTTTCCGTGCTCCTTTCTTCCAAATACACATGCCATGATGCATGAAAATATGGTGAAACAGGGAATAAGTCCTTCTTGCTCAAACAAGAAATACTATGCGTGGTGTTATTTAAGCAAGAGCCATATGCAGTCTGTTACACTGGTGCTTTTCACAACTGAAACACTAAACCTGGCTGGGCGCTTGGACACAAGACCAGTTGAACCTCGCCTTAAAAGGGCTGTATTCCCTTATTTAAATCTGGTTTCTTAGTTGGTTGAGGCTAATGGAACCTCATCTTCTCCCTCTTTGTGTCTTTCCATCTTATAATATCTCAGCTAACTTGCATTCACATTTACCCTCCCTCCCTTCTGAAATTCCCATGTGCTTCACTAAACACTTCTATCTCTTCTTCAGGGCGACGTACTACCTACGGCCGGAGGAGGTTCCCAGGTGGTGCTACAGGATGTGGAGATCCTCAAGCAGCGAGATCCCCTGGCTGTCCCTCTGTCTAAGCGTTCCTCGGATGGTACCCCTAAGGTAGATGCCACCACTGTGCAAGAGCGTTGTGCAACTGGTATTGCATATTATGGCACCCCCAGCCACTATGTTCCTAGCAAGCGTACAAAGTTGTAAGATAGTATTATATTTCTTAACTTCCAATTGGTATAAGCCTTTTTTATTATCATAAAGCTCTCATGTTGTTATTTTGTAAATGAAGAATTTTATTTGTATTTCTTACAAAGGAACCTCTTCTTTTTTCTTCTTTTCACTGTCCATTTATAGGATTTTGTGATTCTTTTAGGCATCATTTTGATTGCAGACCATTTTGGAATATTGCATAATTAATATGCTGCTAACTTCTAACAAAAAATGACCCCATATTCTAATATGTAATATATTGCTTGTCTTTTTTATGGAATGTAATAATCCTGAAACCACTATATTAGCATCAGATATGATATGTATAGTCCCCATTAGCATTACATGTATAGTGAAAAATTAATAGGTCTTCCCTATTTGTTTTTATAGAGGGGAAGGTCATACACTATTGTTGTACTTACTATGGTTAGAATTATGTACTTGGATTGTGGAAAGCCTGTAATATTCTCAGTGATTTTTACAATTGTGATGTGAAGCATCTACACAACGGGCTGGAATGTGGTTTGTAGGAAGGGGACATTTTTGGTTAAACTTTTACTGTATGAATAGTTCTTTAGGAATATAACATGTATTTATACTTCATGTAGACTAAACTGATTATGCCATTTTTCTGATGGTCTTCACAACAATTCCTTTACAGCTTTTTTACTAAGTGATACCATGCCTTGTTCTATAGTATATTGTTTCTGAATGGATGTGATTGTTGTATAGATGTTAAAAAGCTGTCAAAGGATTCAGGAATCAATCAGTTATGTAGTATGTATTACCATAAACAAAATAAACAAGACTTACATTAATTTGACTTTGTCTTGACCAAATGTAAATTTTTAAATTCATTCAATAAAAAGCATTTCTTTGCAAAACTTGCTCTACATGATGTGAGATTTTGACAAGTTATGACATTTTAATGCTATAGTCTTAGTCATCTAGTTATGATTGTCTATTAAGGGCAGGTCTAAGTAAGATCCAGATTTTTTTTTTGTGAAAATTCCGTTATTCAAATCTTATGATATTGGTAAGTGCTGAGACACCAAGTGCATAATTAATTTCACTTGTGTAAAATTGAGAAGTACCATTGTTATGCATGGGTTATTTATGTTCATTTTTACCATAAGGCTTATTGTGAAGGAGATTTTTTTTCTTCATATCAAGTAATATTATGAATTGTATGTCATTGCAAAGTATATAATATCCAAGTTATTTTTAGGAACTTCAAATGCTTCTTTACTGTTCATTACATGCTCCATAAATACCATGTTTTTCTACTGTGGCCTCTGTTAGTTTTCACTTTAGTAGCTTTATAATAATTGATGATTAAGTCCCCCATATTCATTTTAACATTTACATTTGCTTAAGAATATTGATGGAAGTGATGTTTCTTTATATTTCTTTTAAAATCATAATAGATTAATTTTAATATAAAAAATATGAAGGTCCAGTCATCTTTGATAACACTAGTTGCCCTGTTTTTATTCATTCTTGTACCAAATAATATCTTGCTTGATGATGCACCTGTGGCCAAACCACAAATAGTATTAACTTTGAATGTAGCAGAATAACACTGATCCATAAGCAAAGGAGGTAATACTGTCTTTATGGAAAGTGTTGTGTCATTGCTGAGCTGCTACTATAGGCTGATGACTAATATTCTCTCTCAAGGAAATAACCAGGAGAGGCTGAGGTGCAGTCTTTTACCATAACACATTTAACATGTTGATCTGCAGCTTCATTTAACTAAAAGTTAGTTACTTATCATAGTACTATTTTCAAAGTTTAAGGAATCAACAGTGTTTAACAGAAAGGTTTAATAACAACATTACAGCAGTTTCTCAGTTTTATTTAATAAATTTGCAACACGAGAACTTTACAGTATATTAACTATATTTCCTTATTGCCTCTAGAAATGCAAAGTTACATTCGGTGCTTCGTCCTCTTATAACTGACTAAAATGGGGCAATTTTTTGGAACAACAGACAGAGACGTACAGTGGTGCCAACATGAAATACAAACTGATCCCGGAATGCAAGTGTAGCACCTAATTTACTGGAATGAGTGAGAGCTATCAGAACGTGGAAGATTAATAGGTTCAGAATGATAAAAAGTTGAAGGTAATTGGGATAAAATGACCCCCCATATTTTTGTTTGTGTGAGTGTTCTTTTGCCGTCTGGAAACTGTACCAATGCATATTGTTTGATAAGTGACATAAGACCTGATAATTAAGATTTTTAAAAGAAATTAAATGGTATGAAACAATCGACACCACTAATCTCATTCATAGATGGGCACAATTTAGATATACTAGTTTTAAGATATTCTTTCTTTGTTAGTGATTATTAATTCTTCATTAATATTAATTGAAACAGTATTTTATATCTACATTATTAATTGATCAGTTATGCCCATATGGATTTATTTCTAACAGATTAAGATTTTACTAATACAGAAGGAACCCTACACAAGTAATGCATATAAACATGTATTTTGAGTGGTCTTCTGGAATTCATTTATTCTGATTTTGTCTTAAAATATTATTGCACTGAATTTTACAAAGAATTCTATATACTTAGGTTCAATTATCATGGGATTCTGTCAGCACTTATACATCAAGGGGATATTTTTTTACTCTATCTACATCATATATACCCATAAAATCTGATTTGCATTTTTTACATAGGAAACTTAATTTATTATAAGGTATGTTTATTTAAAAGAAAAAAGAAATGCAGTTTCTTGATAATTCACCACCTAAGACCAACTGGTAAAGCAATGATACCAAGGTTGGTACCTTGTTAGGGATATGGACACCAATTCTATACAACACATTTCATCATAAACCGAAGTGCACAATAACATTTAGCAAGAGTAATTACACACAAGATCACCCAAGTTTATATTATATAAAACAACGTCTCTGTCTACTGAACCTAAAAAAAAGAAAAAACAGAAAAAAAACCCAGGATATACCGAAGACTAGCAATTGTAAATAGAGCTGGTTACTATAAAGAGTACCCTCTACTGTGTGATCACAAAAGTTATAACAAGTCATTACAATATCTAACAGTTCATACTTAGAGTACAGTTTTCATTTAAAATCCCAAGTGGCTGTATAATGAAGGTGGTCTCTGGTCGTGGCTATTCGCCATGTCCGGGTCACCAGCTGACCACACAGCGCCTTCCTTGCTCAGGTCAGGTGGAGATTCGGTTCAGGAGAGCCACCGCAGGAAACAACCGTAGGATCTTTATTTTATCTTGTGATGTACAGTCCACCTTTTTATAAGTATGTTACACAAGCCAAAAGTTCTTTTTTTTATATTATAATTTTCCTCTTTATCTCTGAAATGAGCTCTAACCCTGGTTACATTAAAATGATTTTTTCTAGGCTTCATACATATTAATTACAAACAAATAACTGTTTCAGGGTATTATACCTCTACATTGCCTTCACTGTCAACCCTCTTGTGCCTCGTTACCTAGCAGTCAATCTTGCTCCTCAAATTACCCCCCTTTACTGACACAATTAACTTAATCTAAAATGCTTAAATGGTTACCAATCATGACCCATTACATAGTCTAGCACTTCAATAAAGTTTAAGATTCATCAGTCTTCTTTGTATCAAAACTATGTCATATATTATTTTAAAAATAATTTCCCACAGGTAAATTGAGTTTACACAACCAACGAGTAAGTGACTGATGATTATGTGTAAGACGACAGGATTCCTTTTTTTTTTCTCTCTGTTTGACTTGTTTCTAGTGGAGGCCTTCTTAGCCCATGTTCACACCATAACATGACCAGAAACAAGCGCCTCTTGTTACATTATGCATTTTCAATGGAAAAATATTTTCGTGTGCTTTATATATGTGTGTAAAATACTTCAATTTGCAATATCAAAATCAACTTTATTGAAGAACAAATGAGCTATGGAACTTTATGACTGCTACATATTAGAGTAATGTCTTCCGCGCATTATGGGCGTTATAGCAGTTTTGCCTTTACTCCCTTTCTTGTCCAAGGCTTTGACTGTATCTCGACTTGAGTGATGCTACGCTAGCTTCCTTATACTCTCATCTACATCAGTGAAAAATGAACCAACTGTGAATCTCCGAATACCCTTCACCAGTTATATAGTTGGACTGTGACAGTCA